CCAGGGGCATTTCTGCAAAGGCCCCGAGGGCAGAACTGAAAAATGCAGTATTTGAAAGTGGCGCCGAATTGCAGCATGGCGCCAGTTGTCCAAAATCCTACGGTACCAAAGGAGGGGTTTGGAAAAAGGGTGCCAGGCCGAAAACGGGACGCAGCCGAAACAGCAAAAGATAGACCAGGGATCGAGCCCTGGCGAAGTCCGTAACAGTCCCACTCGCACAGATTAGCAGATATCGGCCGTTGATAAGGGAGAGATTCTACTGCGAATATATCTGTTAATCCGTGCAAGTGGGACCTCGACAACGGGGTCTGTCAGTTTCGTGATGACATCTCAAGGCCATTGCCCTTTTTCTAAGGGTAAAAAAAAAAAAATCATCTCGCTTTTTCCCCGAAAAAAGGGTATCGTCATTGAATGCATGACCTGTTTACTACCAGTTACATGATTAATGTTCGTGCACATCGGCGAAGTGTGCATTTGTAAGAGAAACAGCTCTGCACCCTCCGAGTACAGCTCGCCCCAAAGACCAGGCAAGCACAATGGCCGGAAAAGCGGAAGCACAAAATGACAACAGCTCGGCCCGAAAACAGAAACAAAGCACAAAGTGACAACGTTCTTGCCCCGATGTTCAACTGCATTATAATGGCTCTGCAACATGCCACGAAACCCTCCGGGAAAAAGAAGGCCCTGGATGGTTTCCTGAGCTGGAAAGATCTTGGGTGTCATGGGAGTGGCAAGCGAGACCCGCTCTGCAACTTAACAAGTTAAGAAGCAATTTGCATGAACGGGAGCTGGAGGTGACTGCCATTTCTCCGGATCAAAAAAAAACAAAAGGTGTCAAGATTGCCCCTGTTATAGTGAATAATCTGGATGGCTTTGAAGGCCAGTACAAATAATGCATCTGTAATCTGGACATTTCCATGCCAATTTATATGGCCTGACAGGGACTACCTCGCAATTCAGGCTGCAAAAAGTGGCAATCATGTCATTTGTCCTCCCACAGAGTTCGAAAGAAAGCAGAAAAAGTCACTAAAAGCCAAAAACGAAACCTAATTACAGGGTCTAGGGAGGACCAGTCTCCATACATTCAAGATTCAAAGTTTGAACACATATAATGCAACATGCACAAATGCAGGGGAGAGGAGAGGGAAGGGAGATGCAATGTCCATAGCAAGTGAGGGGCAAGGGCCCGGGGGGGAAGGAGGGCGGAGGGGGGGGAAGGGGGAGGGGGAGGGACCATGGGCAGCACGCTGCAGGCTTCTCACCTTCAAATCTCTGTGAACAACACCACGTGAATGAAGGTACTCCAGAATTTGAACAATTTCAGCAGCATAAAATCTTGCATCCTCCAATGGAATGCGCCCTCGCTAATAATAGTCAGAGGAGGAGGTCAAAAAGAAAGTCATGCACCCATGCATATCCATATGAGGAAGCCACAACCAGATGCTCTCATGCAAAGAAGAGAGAAAATGGATAGGGATCCCAATCTGTTTGCAGCCAAGATCCACAACAAAACAAGCAATGAATAGATACAGATGCTGAGGTGGGATGGACAAGCCCTCCAGCGAGGTGCAGGAAGTCAAACCAACGCCAAACC